TCAAACTATTCAAGCAAAGAATGGAGCTTGTGTTGGCAGACCAAGAAGTAACTGATAACAAGAAAAAGGCTATCAAAATCAAAATCGCTGTAGGCAATGAAGGTTTGCGCCGAATCAATGCGTCAGGGCTATCAGAGGCCGACCAAGAAAAACCACAAGAGCTGTGGAAATTGTTTGAAACACAAATAAAGGTAAACATTAATTTTCGAGTCCATCGTCTTGAGCTGATGCGATATTGACAGAGATAAGATGAGAGCATTGATGCATTCGTCACTCGATGTAGAGACAAAGCAAACACTTGCCAATTCGAGGAATCCGAACTTGCCGAGCGAATTTCTAGAATTCCAGAAATTCCTATTGGACCAGCCTAAAGGATATCAAATCGAAGCAATTCTAGTAGAGGGTCATAAATACGAGGCAATTGCGGCGAGCAGAAAATGCCTAGAAACGCTTGATCCGACGAAAGAAAACATAGATTCATTCAAGTGGAACCAGGGACGAAAGACATGTGGAAACTGCGGACGTATCCACAAACCTCGTCAGTGCCCTGCGTATGCAGATGTGTGTCGTGCCTGTGACACAAAGGGCCATTGGGCCAAGTTCTGTAGAAAGGCTAAGAATGATGGTAGTCGAAAACCAGATCGTAGATCAGATGACCATAAATCTGATGACCTTAAACCGAAACACGGTACCTATCACGATCAAAATCAAAGGGTCGAAAGTATAAACCGATAAGTGAAATGGAAACTGAACATGATACTACCACAGATCATGATCATCAATCAACATCAGATCCATCGAACTTCGTACACTTTGACACCATACACATGATCGGACCACACACAGTGATCAACTCACAGGGTACAGTAGCTTTTGCAAACATTGACATCATATGCCCACAGAAATCAGGTCAGCATTACCTATACTTGAAAATAGACTCTGGGGCAAGCACTAATACTATCACAGTACGCACAGCCAAACAAATATATGGTGACAAGTGGAGGCAAGTAGTGAAATGTACACCAGTAAAGCTAGTAGCATATGGCGAAATATCAATACCATGCTTTGGTACACTAGACTTTAAGTGTAGATACAAGAGTCCAGAATGGTATACACATACATTCTACGTAGCAGACGTGAATGGACCAGCTATCTTACGGTTGTTAGGATGCACAGATCTCGGGATTATCACAATCCACACAATGCACAAGGACACACATACATACACACCTATCACAAGTGTTAGTGACCTCAAACATACCCAGATCAGTTTGATGCCATAGGAAGCTTTAGCAGGAAAGCAATGCTGCATCTGAAAGATGATGCAGAGCCCACCATAGATGCACCGAGAAAGTGCAGTGTCCACCTGAAGGACAAGATCAAAGCTGAACTAGATAACATGGAGAAGCAAGGAGTCATCAGAAAGATAGAACACCACACAGATTGGTGTAGCTCGATGACCACTGTTGTGAAGAAAGATGGATCCATAAGGATATGTCTTGACCCCAGAAGGTTGAATGATGCCTTGAAAAGGTGTCCACACAAAATTCCAACCGATCTTCGCAGGAGCTCAATTCTTCTCCAAGCTAGACGCAAAGGCTGGATACTAATCAGTTCACCTAGCAGAGGAATGCCAAGACCTGACCACCTTCAGAACACCATTTGGAAGATATTGTTTCCAACGATTACCCTTCGGCTTATGCACAAGCCAAGACATCTTCCAGCAACACATGGCTAGGATCGTCCAGAATGTGCCTGGCTGCGTATGTATTGCAGACGACATTGCCATTGTCGGAAAAACAGAGGAGGAACACAACAAGAATCTCCACTTACTCATGGAGACAGCGAAACAGGAAGGCCTCGTGTTCAACAGCTCCAAGTGTACTATCAAGAAGGAAGCTATCAGCTACTTTGGATCCATGTACACAAGATCTGGAATCTTCCCAGATCCAAGCAAGGTTGAAGCTATCAATACAATGCCTTCACCCAAGGACAAGGAAGATGTTCAGAGATGCCTAGGATTATTCACATACCTAGCACCATACATACCTAATCTATCAGAGAAGTCAGCACCTCTTTGTGAAGTCCTTCACAAGGAAATTCCATTCGTCTGGGACGAGGATCACGAACATGCCTTAAATAGCCTGAAAAGCGCAGTCTCATAGGGTGCATGCCTGCAGTTCTTTGACCCAAAGAAAGAGACAACCGTGGAGGTAGATGCGTCGATGAAAGGGCTGGGAGCATGCCTGCTTCAAGATGGCAAACCTGTAGCTTTTGCATCCAAAAGTCTCTCCAATGCGCAGTCCAACTACTCGAACATAGAGAGGGAAACCTTAGCCCTAGTGTTTGGTATCACCCGATTCCATACATACCTATTCGAGAAGGAATTCACTGTGATAACAGATCACAGGCCTTTGGAGACAATTTGGAAGAAACCTCTAAGAAGCTCACCACCTCGTCTACAGAGACTACTGATCAAGGTACAAGGATACAGATGCCAAGTCAAGTACCGACCTGGGAAAGAAATGATTCTTTCAGATACCTTGAGCCGTCTTCCTAACCCCAAGGAAGCATGCGATGTTCCACTAGACGTCAGAGTGGAATCCATCTGCTCCGAAGTAGAAGACACTCATCAAATCGACTTGATCTTCTTCGGACAACACAAGAGAACAGAGGGAAACATCCAATGACCCTGTTCTTAGGTCATTGTGGCAGACAGTCACTCAGGGTTGGCCTGAAACTCTCCGGGAGCTGCCGACATCCCTAAGGGAATTCTGGTCTTACAGAGATGAGATTGGAGTGTCACAAGGAGTACTCTTCAAAGGAAGTCGAGTGATCATACCAAAGACACTTCGGGAAGACATCCTTGGACAACTCCATCTGGGACACATGGGAATTGAGAGCACCAGACGACTAGCTCGTGAGACAGTGTTCTGGCCACACATCAACAAGGACATTGAACAGCTCGTAAAGCAATGTGCTGCATGCCAGGAACACCAGTCAAGGCAACAGAAAGAGCCGTTGCTCCCCCATGATGTACCTTCAGCACCTTGGACTAGACTAGGGACAGATTTGTTCATGCTCAACAGACAAAGACTATTTACTCGTCACTGACTATTACTCAAAGTATCCGATAGTCTACAAGCTGACTGACACATCAAGTGCTGCAGTAGCGAACGTGATGAGTGGAATCTTCAGTCTATTTGGTCCACCAGAGGAGATCGTATCGGACAACGGTCCACAATTTGTCGGGAAGCACTTCAAGGACATGTGCCGGAAGTGATCGATTACACATACAACCTCTTCACCTCACTATCCAAGATCCAACGGACTAGCTGAGAGAATGGTTCGTACCGTCAAGAATCTGTTGAAAAAGTGTTCACAGACTGGCCAAGACAGTCAACTGGCTATGTCACACCTAAGAGCAACACCTGTTGACAGTCACATGAGATCACCTGCAGAGATGTTGTTTGGAAGACCCATCAGAACAACACTGCCATTATCTTTCAAGAGAATCTACCACTACTGATCATCTCTTGAATCGACAGAGTAAGATGAAAGAAACGCACGATCGACATGCGGGTCCAGATCTTCCACCACTCCAGGTAGGACAACCAGTCAGAGTCCTACATCCATCATACTTGGATACCAGCCAAGGTATCAAAAGTCTGCGACGAGCCTAGGTCGTATGAAGTATCAACACCCAACGGAGGAATCCTGAGACGAAACCGATCTCACCTGAGGGAGATTCCATCATCAACCAACCCAACTCCAAAGCGTGTTAGGTTCGACGAAGACTACACTTCATCTACTCAAGCAGAAACACCACAACAAAATGGCAACAAGCATCAACCAACTCAAACACCAGAAACTCAGAACATTCAATCTAAAGGACCAACGACAAACTCGCAAACCACAACTAGATATGGACGCAACATCCGTACCCCAGCGAGATATTTGTTTGAAGATTGAAACTGAACTCTTAAATTTCTTCAAAGAAGAGAGAAGATAAAGAAGAACACAGAAGACGCTTAGTTTAATGTAGTCTAAGAAGTTTATTGTTCATATGTATAATCATTGTACAGTATTTTTGGCATGACAAGCATAATGTTTACAAGTCTAAACAGATGCTAGCCCAAACATGTTTCATTTGGAAATTCATTTTTAAAAAGGAATCAAGTTATATCACAACTATGTTCAATCTTGCAGATCAACTGTGAAGTTGGAAGTGGAACGATATAATTATTTATACAGTTATACTCATTCGTTAATACAATACAAAGAAACGTATTGAAAACAAATCAATATTTTATGTTATATAACCCGATTGGAAAAAGTTTATTAGGAAGCAAATAATCAAAACTTGCATACTACCAAAAGTATTGTTATCAAAGCAGTCCATATTATTAATACGCAAAATCGCCGCGGGGGGTCCAACACGGGCCAAAACGGTTCCTCAAAAACGTCTTTCCCCGACCGCGCCCGCCTCCGCCGGGGCGCGGGGACGGCAGCACAATTACACGAGGCCTGTCTCCCGTAACCCGCGTGCCACGTCGACCCCGTGATCGACGTCCATGCCGTGCCGAGTCGGGAAGGCGTGCATCCGCCCTTTGTGCAATCAACAAAGAGACACCTAGCGGACGAGAATCCACTTCTGTCAATGGGTGTAGCACATCACGTAGTAACGGGTGTGGCTTACCCCGAGTTTAGGCCTCTTGCTATAGGATACGCTTTGTAGCATGTAAGAGAAATACACATTAACAGATGACTCACCCGGGTGAGGGGATGTAAAAAAATGCACGCTCTCACGGGTTGGGCTTAACCGTGTTATGCATCTTTTTATATGATATGCTTTGTAGGCCAGCCGGACCTGCTGCGGGTACGAACGTACGTGTATAATGTATGCGATGATTCTACGCTCACCGTCACACGCACAGCTCAGTCGCTTCATCTTTTATTCTATGATGATTGCCGTGATTTATATATAGTTTACGCAAATAGAGGTATGCAAGCAGGGTTACTTTGGTATTATCCTGTTCATGTTTACTGAATTTTGAAAATCATTCTTCAAAGTAAAGTTTTCACAAGAAATTCATCGTAACTGACAGTTCAGTTGCAAGCTAGCTGCCGTGAGGCACGGGCAGTGCAGTGCGCTACTGCTGCCGAGCACTGTCGGAACTGTGACTGTGTGACTGTGACTGTGTGAGGTGAGGTGAGCTGAGCTGAGCTATTATAGAGTAGACTCGACACCATTTTGAAATTGCTCTTATTGCCCCTATTTCAATATAGTTTCGTGACTATAGAGGTATGAAACCTGAGTTTAGATTGTGATTATTCTGTCCATGTATAGTTGTATGCTGAATTTCGATAATCATTTTTCAAAGTAAAGTTTTCACAAGAAAATCAGACGGTCGTTTAAAAACATAGCCATTGGCATTGTCTATAGCTGGATAGAATACTTATACTATGATACAGTTCCTTCATCAAATCAATGCATTAAAACGGGTATTACGGTGCGCCATTCATGGTCAAACAGCATTATAAAAATCGTCTAGATTCTAGGCCTAGACCTTATATAAAAATAATCAAATTTTATTTTCGATAGCACATAGGGTCTAGGCCTCTTTCTATTTACCCCTCCCCTGCCCTCCCCCTCCCCTGCCCTCCCCCTAGAATCCCGTGGATTTTCCACGGCTCCTGCTAGTATGTTATTAATCATCAATCAGTGATGTTCACTGATTCCCAATCTTTCCAGAGGAAGGGGGATGTTAAGATATGCGATATCCGAATATCCGGTATCCGTCGTAGTTTAATAAACATGTCTCCATCACAACAAACCTGACTGCCGATTCGTCTATTATCATGAGTATCTACCAATTCTAAGACCCTCGACCTCATCAGTGTTGGGTGAGATTTCTTTTCTTAGAAAACCTTTTCTTGCAGTGTGAACATTCATATGGCTTTTCTCTTTTGTGTACGAGGAGGTTTTGGGTGAGATAGCTTTTCTTAGAAAACCCTTTCTTGCAGTGTGAACATTTATACAGCTTTTCTCCTGTGTGTGTTTGTAGGTGTCAGGTAAGAGTACTTTTCAGAGAAAACATTTTCTTGCAGTGTGAACTTTCATATGGCTTCTCTCCTGTGTGTGTGAGGAAGTGTCGGGTGAGATTGCTTTTCTTAGAAAACCCTTTCTTACAGTTTGAACATTCATATGGCTTTTCGCCTGTGTGTGTTAGGAGGTGTTGGGTTAGAGTGATTTTCTTAGAAAACCTTTTCTTGCAGTATGAACATTCATAGGGCTTTTCTCCTGTGTGTGTTAGGAGGTGTTGGGTGAGACTACTTTTCTCAGAAAACCCTTTCTTACAGTTTGAACATTCATATGGCTTTTCTCCTGTGTGTGTTAGGTGTTGGGTGAGACTTCTTTTCTCATAAAACCCTTTCTTACAGTTTGAACATTCATATGGCTTTTCTCCTGTGTGTGTTAGGTGTTGGGTGAGACTTCTTTTCTCATAAAACCCTTTCTTACAGTTTGAACATTCATATGGCTTTTCTCCTGTGTGTGTTCGGAGATGACGTTTAAGAGTACTTTTCAGAGAAAACCTTTTCGTGCAGTGTGAACATTCATATGGCTTTTCTCCTGTGTGTGTTTGTAGGTGTCAGGTAAGAGTACTTTTCAGAGAAAACATTTTCTTGCAGTGTGAACTTTCATATGGCTTTTCTCCTGTGTGTGTTAGGAGGTGTTGGGTGAGACTTCTTTTCTCATAAAACCCTTTCTTACAGTTTGAACATTCATATGGCTTTTCTCCTGTGTGTGTTCGGAGATGACGTTTAAGACTACTTTTCAGAGAAAACCTTTTCGTGCAGTGTGAACATTCATATGGCTTTTCTCCTGTGTGTGTTAGGAGGTGTTGGGTGAGATTGCTTTTCTGAGAAAACCTTTTCTTGCAGTTTGAACATTCATACGGCTTTTCTCCTGTGTGTGTGAGGAAGTGTCGGGTGAGACTTCTTTTCTCAGAAAACCCTTTCTTACAGTTTGAACATTCATATGGCTTTTCTCCTGTGTGTGTTAGGAGGTGTTGGGTGAGATTTCTTTTCTGAGAGAATCCTTTCTTACAAAAGTAACATTCATATGGCTTTACTCCTGTGTGTGTTCGGAGATGAAGCTTGAGTACATCTTTCCGAGAAAATCCTTTCTTACAATAGCAACATTGATAGGGCTTTTCCCCTGTGTGCGTTAGGAGGTGTTGGGTGAGATTTCTTTTCTCAGAATACCTTATATTACAGTGTGAACATTCATGTGGCTTTCCTTCTGGGTGTGTTAGTAGATGACAATTGAGTGCACTTTTCAGAGAGAATCTTTGTTTACAATAGCAACATTCATATGGCTTTTCTTCTGTGTGTGTTAGTATATGATGGTTGAGAGCACTTTTTTGTGAAAATCCTTTGTGACAATAGCAACATACATATGGCTTTTCTCCTGAATGGGTTAGTATATGACGATTGAGATGATTTTTTTGTGAAAATCCTTTCTTACAATAGCAACATTCATATGGCTTTTCTCCTGTATGTATTAGTATATGTTGATTGAGTACACTTTTCTGAGAGAATCCTTTCTTACAAAAGTAACATTCATATGGCTTTTCTCCAGTGTGTGTTAGGAGGTGTTGGGTGAGATTGCTTTTCTTAGAAAACCTTTTCTTGCAGTATGAACATTCATATGGCTTTTCTCCTGTGTGTGTTAGGAGGTGTTGGGTGAGACTTCTTTTCTCAGAAAACCCTTTATTACAGTGCGAACATTCATGGGGCTTTTCTCCTGTATGTGATAGTTTATGACGATTGAGTACACTTTTCTGTGAAAATCCTTTCTTACAATAGCAACATTCATATGGCTTTTCTCCTGTATGTATTAGTATATGTTGATTGAGATCATTTTTCCGTAAAAATCCTTTCTTACAATAGCAACATTCATATGGCATTTCTCCTGTATGTGCTAGTATATGACAATTGAGTGTACTTTTCCGAGAAAATCCTTTCTTACAATAGCAACATTCATATGGCTTTTCTCCCGTATGTATTAGTTTATGACGATTGAGTACACTTTTCTGAGAGAATCCTTTCTTACAATAGCAACATTCATATGGCTTTTCTCCTGTATGTGTTAGTATATGACGATTGAGATCATTTTTCCGTAAAAATCCTTTCTTACAATAGCAACATTCATATGGCTTTTCTCCTGCATGTGATTTCACGTGGAGAAGGGGATGACTGGCCTGACATGATCTCTTACTGCAACATGGACACTGATGTAGCTTTTCTCCAAAATGTATCCTCAGATTAATGTCGAGTTGATCTTTTGTGGAAAACACCTTGCCGCAATGTGAGCAAAGATGAGATTTACCTCCACTGTTGATTGACTCTCCACGTTCTACCGTCTCTTGTTCGTTGTTAACAATATCACCTGGTGGCGAGAAAGAGAAAGCTCATGTCATCGACACCACAGATACAGCGTAAGAAAGTACATGAGTGTCCTGTCACTTCAAATTGAGACAGCAGTTTTTGGATTATGTTCTGAACTTCTGAGAGAAAGATGAATATGCCAAAAATGGATTCAATGGGTTCAAGCATGTAGGCTGTCTAATTGGTCAAATGACACCACATGACCATGCATCCTTGTTTCCAACCATGCCTACCCTGCAAAAAAAATTCCTATCAAATTTTTGGACTACCATCTGGTTCCATCTACTTTTTATATATTATATTAGGGACAGATCACATACATGTAATTGCCTACTCACCTTTTTTAAGTGGAGGGCCAAAGTCAAATATCATGCTTAGTTTTTTTAGTTTGTTGCCACTACCAGTATACCACATAAACTAAGCACACCTTGTTTATCCAAAAGATTGTATCATAATAATACACAATATTTCAGAGGTGTTTTTTTATAATTTGTAGTGGTCACCCCTAAATTGGTTACGGTAAGTGGATGCAAAATAGACAAAAGACAAATGGTGATTGGCAAGATGCACTTTTTTTTCCTTATTACTTGTTTGCAAAGAGTGGGCTAACGGACATGCTACGAGCTTAGCTATAAAGATGCCTGAAGTCTGACAATTAATGAATGGGTTAAAATCTGCATGAGCTGAATTATATTAAAGAACGCAGATTACGGTGATAGGTCCTGATCCAGGGTTGGTATATTTCCCGCTTCGGAGGCTTATTTCCCGGATGCCAGGAAATAAGCGGTATTTACCGGGAAATATATTTTTTCACTCTTTTGTTCATAGGGATTGTTCAATTTTGAACATTATAACAATGGTGGTGAGTATGGTTGCTCTGGTGTGTACTATTTGTGTGTGTGCGTGTGTGTGTGTTTGTTCGTGTGTTTGTCCATTATGAAATGCTTGAAAAAAATACAGGACAAAGATCCCAAATATACACCTAATCTAGATATCATGTTCTTCATTAAAGATATTTTATCAAAGAATTTTATTGAATGAAAAGAAGTGTGAATTCATGGTTATTACATCAAATCGTAAACGAAGGTCATTTGATATAATATCAATATCCAGATAAACGGAATCCCTCTGAAAACTGTTAAGACAATGAAGTATCTAGGAGTTATTTTAAAAGAGAAAATGAATTGGCAAGATCAAGTCACACACGTAAAGAAAAAAAGCGTTATCCAGTATATATTGTTTAAAACGTTTGAGACCATATATTTCGCAAGATACAGCCGTAATGTTATATAAAACCCTTGTGCAACCTCATTTTGATTATTGTTTAGCATTATGGAGAAATGCTTGCAAAGCTCATCTTAAGCAAATATCAGTAATTCAAAATAGAGCACTACAAATAGTTCTGTCTGTCGATAGCCGTTTCAACACAAATCTGGTCTATTCTATCCTAAAAGTTGACCGTGTTGATATACGTTGTAAAAAGCATGCCCTAGTACTAATCTTTAAACTAGTACACAATTTGCTTCCTAAATCATTATGCGAACGCATTTCCCTAAAAGAATACACCCACGGCCTCAGGAATTCTGTTAACATACTGGTACTCACTTCAGAAAATCCCAAAACCAATTTTAAACGAAAGGGATTTATCTACCGGTACTCAAGTGTCTAATTATTCAGTGCCTTACCTGAAAGAATTTGTCTCTTGTCAACTACCCGACAATTTGAACTGGAGGTAGATGCATTGTACTAGTCCGTCACTCTCACCCTCTTCTTCTTCTATCTTTCTTTTCTCACATTCTCTCTTTCTTTGTTCTTTTCTCATCCCTCTTCTTCTTTTATCTCTATTTGTTCACATTCTCTCTTTCTTTGTTCTCTTCTCATCCTATCCCATTCTACTCTTCCCCTATTTATTAAAATGACACTTTTTTAATGACACATATTATCTGTCTCTGTAATTTCATTTAATATGTAAGCTTCTTACTTCATTTTGTTCTTCCTAATATATTCATATTAGACCTTTTATATCATATATCTTTATGCTTGTTATTTTATTTGATGCAATAGTTTGTTATTTAATTTTTTTATTTGATGCATGTATGTCATCTTTAAGTAGTTTTCCTATGTATTTACTGATGTATATGTAATTGAGATCTGTTTTATGCTTTTTACACGAACTTGCTGAAAAGCAGTCTTTTTAGACTGATGTGAGTTTACCGTGAATAAATGAATTCAATTCAATTCAATGTCCCTTTTGCAGCCAACATCAAATTCTGTACAACTTTGCAGGAATAACGAATATGTCATGTATGTCCTATCTGTGAAATTTAAACGTTAGCAGTGTCCTAATATTCAAATTATGCAAGGAAACCTGTTTACTTGCTAGAATTCAATGTCAAACACTATTGAGTGACTGACTGGCTTTTTTTCTTCTTTGATAATTAACATCAATAAAAATGAGCTGTTATAGGTACATGAGCATTTGTCTACATCAATAACCCACTTCTTGAAAGGGCCAAAATTAAACTGATTGAATCTTTGCACAGCATTAAACGTATGACCATTCGGTACAATCACTTACTGGCTCTATAGCTCTTAAGTTGATTCGACAACTAATAGTTGTTATTTTCCCACTTAAAGACATTTCAAGCCCCCCTTTTTTTAGGGAAGTTCTAATTTAGTATAATCTTTCAAATGCTGTTGTAATTTAACCTTTTCATTTTTGGGGACTGCAAATTGGACATAGTATCTTTAAGTCAGTTGTTAATTACCATATTCATGAATACCTATTAATTAGCATATGAATAAAATGCCATGTGCTTCAAAAACCATGTGCAATATTTTCGGTTGTTGAGGCTAAAAACAAGCAAAATTATTAATAAATAGAGAATTAAAATCATATTTCCTGTTTTTTACAAATTTACCAGATGCCCATCTTATTTACTGGATGGTATTTACCAGTATTTATCACCGGTAAGACCTAAAATAAAAATTTGTTGGATTGCCCTTTGCAACAAACCCCAAAATCTGAAAATCTACGGTCAGCATTTTAAAAAAGTTTATTTTTTAAACCGTTTTTTAGATTTTTTAACAATTATTGAATAAAATAACATGTATTTTGTTTGTTTAATTGGGATATAAATGCATAAAATCAAATTATTCCAAAATTCTCACTCGTACAAACCATGGATAATTATGAGATGAATAAGATGTCAATGGAATGATGAAGATGTATTAAAGCACCAAAATAAATGAGAAATATCAGCCAAAAGAGGGTAGGGAAAAAAGAAGAAAAAACAACAATAACATTCAAATCTGAAAAATATAGGCCCAAACGGAGGGTGACAAAAAAAAAGTTAAAAAAAACAAAAACTTTTCCGACTGACTGACCGACCGACCCATGTTTTGGCAACCAAAGGCCAATACAACAAGTTTTTATTTTAGGCCTAATTACGGCCACTGGTATTTATCGCCCAACCCTGTCCTGATCAGACCTCATTGCTAAAGATAATGATAACTACTGCGATAAATTGCTCCCAAATCGTTCTGTTATGAAAGTGGAAAATGTATTTGAAATTTGTTGCAGATGTAGGTCAGACATTGACGATATATGCTAATGAGCCTGCCTCGACTATTTTATCCTGCTATTGGGATTGCTCGGCCAATGATTTTTTTTGGAGCAAGCAGAAATGATAACATCTGTAACCCAATAATTGCACATCTTTGAAGTGATGCAGTGACAACAGTGTTTGACTGACACAACTAAAAAAAAAATTCTGTGAAAATTGGGGAGGTCTTATGGTCACTAAATACATCTTGCAATATGCACATGCTTTATCGTTTATTCGTTATCGGTGTGGTCTGACCAGGCCTTAAAAAATCTCATTGTATTAGAGATTAAACCTACCTTCTGATGTAGGATGTTCAGATTCCTTGTCTCCATCAGTACTTGACACAGGATTATGGGTTGTACTATCCACTTCATGATTGATTTTACCTGAAATAAATCATTGACGGATAATTTAAAACCAGTCATTCTTCAATGTCAGTGCAGTCCTTTGATCTGTTTGATCTGCCTTTGTTTGAAGTACGTGTACAGGGATAAAGCTACAGTCCCATATACGTCCCGGACCGTCCCGGACCATCCCGGACCCCATCCGGGTAGATCCGGGATTCGGTCCGTGTTGACACCGTGTTGGCACCGGGATGGTCCTGGATGGTCCTGGTTGGTCCTGGATGGTCCTGGATGGTCCTGGGCGGTCCGGGAGTCGACCCCGGATGTTTTTGACGGTCAAAAACTGCCGGGGTGGTCCGGGTGGTCCGGGACGGTCCGGGACAATAGTTTGATCCGGGGTGATCCATGTAGCCACCGTGCTGGGTCAGGGGTCATCCGTAGTGGCGCCGGGGCGGTCCGTGTTGATCCGTGGCAGTCCGGGAGTGAGTTATTGACCGCCCAGGACCATCCAGGACCACCCCGGTGCCAACACGGTGTCAACACGGACCGAATCCCGGATCACCCCGGATGGGGTCCGGGATGGTCCGGGACGTATATGGGACTGTAGCTTAAAAGCATCACACTTTTTTTAACAAAACATCCCGGACCATCCTGGATCACCCCAGACCATGGTCCGGGATGGTCCGGAGTGGTCCGTGCTCGTCCGTGCTGGTCCGGCTTTATATGGGACTGGGGCTTTAGATCACAGGGATAAGGCCACATTCATTGGTCCATTTTCTACACTTAAAAATACAGCAGTCATACCCTGTAAATTTTTGTAAATATGTTCACTTATTATAACTTGCATATTTGTTTGTAAATTGTAGTTTCATTGTTTAATATTCTGTTATTATATGTAATAACGGCCTCGCTGAAAAACAGCTATTGTTGAATGCGGGCTCAATTGTATTATGTTTTTAACCGTAAATAAATGAAATATACCATACCATACCCTCAATGGAAAAGAATTAGTAAGTTTGAAATTTCTGTTGAGGCGATTTATTACCGGTAGGTATCTTTAGTATTCTTCATTCTGATGATCAGCAATGCACAATCACTTTGTGTTTAATAGCTGATACTGTAGATACTGTATACCACTTAAATGTCAAGAGTCTAGAGACTGCTAGAAGATTTGTGTTGGAAACCCAGGACAAGTGAATATGAATTATTCACATTGACTGTATCTTGATACCGGTACATATCATCAGGTAAATTCCCATCATTTTTAGCATCACTTGACAGATTGCTTCAAAATAGCCCAAGGGGCCTTGCACGGTCATGTCCTACAAATGACGGACAAATGGTATTGTGGTTTGTAGAGTCTGAAGTACCTTGCGCACTAGGTAATGCGCGAGCCATTTATCACGCGAGCCGCAGAGCCATGCCCTCGCCATGATTCACGCTACTTCATTCATCAAGCATTTTACAGCGTTTTACACGATCCCACATCTTCACCTCAGCCATTCATATTGTACGAAGGTGCGGCATGAATTCGTTAAACATTCATAGCGCTGTGTCCATTGACGTGGGGGCAAGCTAGCTGAGCGTGGCGTGACATGCATAGACATGAACATGATTACATATGGCTTTATCAAAATGATTACCGTAAACGAGACCACCCATATAAAGTTAACAATTAAACGTTTAACAAAAGAAACCTCAATGACTCAGGCATACTTTGTACACAGGTTTCACTGCAATATCAATTCAAGTAATACCTTCTAGACTTGATGGAACACCTTCCTCTTCACTTTCTTCTGTAGGTTCTTGCTTGATGTTGGTTTTGAGGGGTAACTGATCGATTTTCTCTCCAACGGTTGAAAAGGCCTCTGCTTCTTCCTTGATGAGAACTTCTATGACTGATGGAATGAATTCATTCATGGGTGACAGGTAATGAATGACATTGCTATCAACCTCTTGCTTGATGAGAACTCCTTCAACAAATTGAATAGTTTCTGTTGAGCTCCTATTTGGAGATTGCGAAGTATGTAAGGTCCAACTCTCTGCTTTTTGCATACTGTGTTCTGGGACTGATGGGGCAGTTTCATCTCTGGAGGTTTTACTTTCCATTTCTTGTTTGTTAGTATGTCCTAGGGTTGTTTCTATGCACATATCTGTAGAATGCAGTGAACTCAAGGTCCTGCTCTGAACTTCTTGCTTGACATTATCTTCTGGGACTGACTGAACACCTTCTGCTGCACTCCTAGTCGTTGTTCTGAGAGGATTTGATGCCCCTCTCTCTGCTACTTGCTTGATCATATCTTCTGGGACTGACTGAACACCTTCTGCTGCACTCCTATCCATTGTTCTGAGAGGATTTGATGCCCCTCTCTCTGCTACTTGCTTGATCATATCTTCTGGGACTAAATGGACACTTTCTGCTACACTTCTATATGTGGGTTGGTGATGATCAAGTGTCCCTCTCTCCATTTCTTGCTTGACTTCTAGGAATGACTGAACAGTCTCTGCTGCCATCAGATCTGCAGGCTGCACTGAATTCAAAGTCCTCACATCTGCTTCTTACTTTAAGCCTACATTCCCTGAAAAAAGCGAGAAAACAAAGGTGTTTTAAAGCATATTCTTGCAAATGGAGATAATTAAGCAAAGCTTTCTTGTGAGAAATCAATCATACTCTGAACACTACCAATATATTGAAAATGTATAGTAGTAGAACATAGTGGAAGAAGTAGTAGAAGTAGTACAATTAGAAGTAGTAGTAGTAGTAGTAGTAGTAGCAGTAGTAGTAGAAGTAGTAGTAGTAGTAGTAGTAGTAGTCCAATTAGTTGTAGGAATAGTAGTGGTAGTGTTTTACACAGGTACAAAACAACAACAACAAAGTTTCGATTTATGCCCCTCCACCTGGCGCTATGCCTGGCAATGTATCCCAGCTCAGTAATCTGTGTGTTGACTTACCACTCGGAAACTAGAACAACACTTAAATTTGTAATCTTGATTGAAAGTAATTTTTCTAATAGATCTCAATATGTAGTTTATAATAATAATTCCTCCAATTTTTCTTCTATTACACACGGCATAACACAAGGTTTTATCCTAGGTCCTCTACTGTTTTTAATTTATATTAATGATCTTACACATTCTTCTGAAAACGACATTGTTACTATTATTTGTGACAAGTTCAATAGCACAAATCAGCGCCTTCAACTGCACCTCGCAGTTAAATAAAAGTCCTTTCCCGCGGACTTGGCTTGACGCCGGGTCGGCAGTAATAGTAGTAGTAATAGTGGTAGTAGTAGTAGTAGTAGTGTTTTAAAACGGCATTAAAGCGAATACATAAAGAATCAGAAAAAGACAATAAACATGTAAAGATGAAGATAATGCAACCACTGGAATGCCAGGGACAGATTAGGTTATCCTACATAGTTATGTAATAACTGTGGCACAAAGTCTTCTGTCCCAGTTTCAGTGGATGTTAACATAAAATGATGATAAAATACATAAAATACACAACATACATAAAGTTGGATGTCCTGACTTTTTACAAGAACATGTAATATAAAACTCCAATATCACATCATCCACAATTCCACATACTGTAGGTTGGATTCGAACCCAAAAATCTTTGGTTTAAAGGGATAGTTGAGTTGTTTTCAGACCGAAAATGCCTTCAAACTCAAAGTGCATGATTATTGCTTTTATTCCTATCTATGACATTTCTAGTGCCCTTTTAGAACCTAAAATTGCTATGAAGGTAATTTTAGACCCCAAAACGCTCATACCAATTCAGCTCCACTTTCAAAAATATACGGTGATCGTTAATTTATTATTTAATTAAAAACAATAATACATGAGCCAGCTGGTGGTGCGTAATATAACCAACACGAACATGTCAACAAAAAAGCCAACATCGGCATTGGCTGAAATACAACGTAAAAGGCGCTATTTTTCAACGGCTTTTTCAAACTTTCTAATATTTGTGGTGGTACACAAGTATTACAAATTGTTATATTTATGGATATTTCAGCCGTCTCTGAACCGATTTTGACATTTAAATTGTATGTTCTTTCAAATTTGAAAGGGTTTGCCACGGTTCTCACGGCAGGCCAGGGTGTATGGAAGCTATTTTGTCACGTTTAATCACGGCGCATCCCGGCGTCTGACGGTTTACGGGTGCGGCACGTTGCGTTCTGACACGGCGCACGCGGTCGGGAGGTAGTATATAAAAGACGGGCGCAGCGGGAGCTTCATTCGAGTCTGAGCAATCAACGACACATTACTGCATCTACAATAGGAAGAAAGGTCAAGCTATGCCACCGAAGAAGGCAAGACGTTCGAAGGCCCTCTGTCCTGCACCATCACCACCACCACCACCAGGATACAATGATGGCTAATGCTTGGGAGGCCTTCTGTTTATACCGTGGGAACAATCGTGCTCCATGCAAAGCTGCCCAGCGTCCACGTTTCATCCGTAGAAAGCCTTGACAGAACGTGAAAAACTTGTCAGAACTTGAGAATCGTGAGGGACCCCATCAGAACGTGACGGGCCAGGAGGGAACGTTCTGGCACCCGTGGTAGAACCCGGGCCGAACGGTAGTTCGCCTTGGACCCTCCGGGACTCAGCATCCCCTTCCCCCCACGGCTCGTCACGGATACCGTGGTAGACCGTGAGAAAACTTGGAAAGACCTAACAAAACTTGAATAGACTACAGAGATAAAATTGGTCTAAATCCCACGGCGCACTACGTTTCGGGTAAACGGGGCTGCCGTGGCCGCCGGGAACATAGTGTAAACGTAGCATTAGTTTTAAAAAATACTTTCTTTTAAACCTTGTTTTATTATAAATAAATTAGTAATTAAAAAGTTAGATTTTGGTATTGGCCTCCCTACTCATGATCTTTATGTGGACATTTAATAAAATTTAATTCATTTTTGGTAGGTTTTAGTTAGGGAGGCCAATGCCCGGGCGTAAGGCTTCTACACCTACGATTTGTGCGCTCGTCGTCCACTTTAAAAAATTAGCAGGGAGAAAAAAATGAAAAGAAAATACAATTATACATTTCACAACATACCTATAATCACGGATCTGTAACGGTCTTTCACGAATTGTTGACGATCTTGCAGATTTTGACGTATTTAAATCCAATAATTGTGGTAGCAGAAGAACATGACGCGCACGCACCACCGACTAAGAAAATCCTAGAGGGCGCAGAGGTTTGCTCACTAAAAACCTTCTCATTGGCAGAAGGTAGACCCTAAAATTATGGGATCCGTTTTGAGTAAAGAACTTTTGATAGAGATCAACTTTTCAGATGTTCACAAATGCCACTTCTAACAACTAGAAAATATAAAGAAAAAAGATTATATCTTTTTAAATACAGATTTTTACAACCTGAACATTCGAAGGTAGATAGAGTAAGATGTTTCTGTCAATCTTGCGTTGGTTTGAGCCCTATAGCTACATCCATCTTAAAATGAAAAGGAAAACTGTGAACAGTGACATCACTGTTCGCGCCAAAAATAAAGGGTATTGCGACATACAGTGTATGTCTGAGCTCCGGTCACTGCGCCAAGCGTAGTCTTACTTATAGACCCTAGTACCTTATTCTCACAGCACTAGATACGAGTGTCGTGCAGTAATGTATGAGAAGTGTTAAAAAAGATATTTCAGTAAAAAAAAAAAGTATGAGCAGTCTATACTCCAATTGAGAATTGTGTTAATAGTGTATGATACATGGTTAGTGAGTGTTACGTATAGCGAGAGAGAGAGTGAGAGAAATAATATAGTACACGTATGTCTGCGTACGTACCTTGCATGCATGCTGCGCTGCAGTCGATTGTTGATTCCGTATTGTGTTCGCTGCAAGATAGATGTTAATTGGACCTCGTAACTTCTCGATCGTTGATAATGCAGTGTCAGATTGATCTTTACTCATGTCGTCATGAGGAATTACTATTGGATTTGGAATACCACTCAAAACCACTCTACAATCACGTAGATCTACGTTGATTCGTTTTCTCTCTGTTCATGTTTTGTCCCTCCATGACTCGATTTCAGGACTGCGGCTTGCAATGCTATTACCTGTGTCGGTGTATGCGACCGATTCAAGGCTAGCCGCCGATGATGAATGTATATAGGCCTACTTTCACGCGAAGTTTTTATCTTGTTGTCCGGGCAATGACACGCCTATCCCCTCGGGCCTGTCATTGCCTAACTGTCTAATTATGAACGTAATTTTGCGACATGCAATATAGTCTAGTCTAATAGTTTCAAGGCTCTTACTAGGGAGGCCAATGCCCGGGCGTAAGGCTTCTACGCCTACGATTTGTGCGCTCGTCGTCCAAGTCAGAAAATTACCAGAAGAAAAAAAAAGGGGGAAAAAAGAAAACAAATATCTATGGAATAAAATGTATAACAAATACACAATTACACACTACACAACATACCTATAATCACGGATCTGTAACGGTCTTTCACCATTTATTGACGATCTTGCAGATTTTGACCTATTTTGATCCAATAATTGGGCTAGCAGACGAAAATAACGGACGCACAAGAGAAACTAGAGGGCGATGAGGTTAGCTCACTAAAATCCTTCTCAATGACTGAAGGTAGAGCCTAAAAATATGGAACCAATTTAACATCAAAGAACTTTTGATAGAGATTAACATATCAGATGTGCACAAATGTCACTTTTAACAACTAGAAAATATAACGAAAAAAGATTATATCTTTTTAATTGCAGATTTTTACAAACTGCACATTCGAAGGTAGATAGAGTACGATGTTTTTGTCAAGCTTGCGTTGGTTTGAGCCCCATAGCTAGAGCCATCTCAAATTGAGAAGGAAAATTGTGAACAGAGACCTCATTGTTTCAGCCCCAAATAGAAGTCTTGCGACATCATAATATGAATATTTATGAGCTCCGGTCTCATCGCGCGTAAAACAAATTTGACGTTGTCTCACACATAGTACCTTTTTCTCAGCACTAGACACCAGTGTCGTGCAGTAATGTATGAGAAGTGAAAAAAAAAGACATTTCAGTAAAAAAAAAAAGTCTACGTGAGCAGTCTTTACTCCAATTGAGAAGTGTAATGAATGCCATGATTATGAAGGAAAAACTGTGATAACGCCATTACGAACGTGTAGATGGCGCACAGTTTTTCCTTCATAATCATTTTGCCTTCGGCGTAGACTAGAAGGGATGAGATTGATTTAGATGACTCCGGCAGCGGGAGTTTAACACGGCTTGCAAGATTTTCAACATGGATGTCGATTTTGACCCATAATTTCCTTAAAAGGGACCATTAAACGGATTATTTCAATCGAGTTAGTAAGTGGAACCGATGTATTATAGCCTAGGCCTAATTTACAATTGGATATGGACGAGGTAAAATGACATTTTGGGGGATTTTGGGGGCATAACCCTACGACCTGAAATGGCCATGGCGTTATCAAGGGAATGTGTATAGACGGTTTCCGTCTCTAAAGAGAGAGCCGGCCGACCCTAACCCAATAAGAGGCTAACGAACGAAAGAGACGGAAAATTTGGTCTATGTCGGTGTGTGCGACTAATTCAAGGCT